TGTGTTGATGATTGATGATGTGTTGATGATTGATGATGTGTCAATGATTGATGTTGTGTTGATGATTGATGATGTGTCGATGATTGATGATGTGTTGATGATTGATGATGTGTCGATGATTGATGATGTGTTGATGATTAATGATGTGTTGATAATTGATGATGTGTTGATGATTGACGATGTGTTGATGATTGATGGGTTGATGGTTGATGACATAATGATTGATGTGTCAATGATTGATGATGTGTCAATCATAAGGCTGCGTTCATAATGTATGGCAGAGGGGGGCAGGTGAAGTCCTTAATTGACAAAAAAAATCTTAAATCCCACCCCTTGAAGTCTACCAAAAAATAACTATTCCCCAGGCAATCTCTCGTAGCTTCTTCTAAAAAAATTCCCATCCCCACAATTCTCTGAAAAAAATTTTCAAACCCCCCTAAATTTCACCTGCCAACCCCCCTCTGCCATACATTATGAAGGGAGCCTAAAAGAGTTGTTGATGATTAATGAGGTGTCAATAATTGATGATGTGTCGTTGATTGTTGAGTTGATGATGTGTTGATGATTGATGATCTGTGAGTGGTTTATGTTTCAAATTTACGATGTAGTGATGTTTGCTGAGGTGTGGTTGATGATGTGTCAATGATTGAGGGCTTATCAATGTTTGATGAGGAGTCAATGACTGATGATTTCTCAATGATTGATGATATTTTGATGATTGATGATGTGTCAGTGGTTGATGTGTTGGTGATTGATGACATGTTGATGAATGATGATGTGTAGATAATGTATTGGAGATTGACATGTTGATAATTAATGTGTCAATGATTGACTGTATTGATGATTGATAATATGTCAATGATCGATGATGTGTTGATGATTGATGATTGAGGATGTGTCGATGATTAATGATGTGTTGATGATTGATGATGTGTTGGTGATTGATGACATGTTGATGATTGATGATGTGTTGATGATTGATGATGTGTTGATGATTGATGTGTTGATGATTGATGATGTGTTGATGATTGATGATGTGTTGATGATTGATGATGTGTTGATGATTGATGATGTGTTGATGATTGATGACATGTTGATGATTGATGATGTGTTGATGATTGTTGATGATTGATGATGTGTTGATGATTGTTGATGATTGATGATGTGTCGATGATTAGTGATGTGTCAATCAATGATTTTTTGATTGATGATGTGTTGATGATAGATGATGTGTTGATGATTAATGTTTTGGTGATTGATGATGTGTTGATGATTGATGATGTGTTGATGATTAATGTTTTGATGATTGATGATGTGTCGATGATTGATGATGTGTTGATGATTGATGATGTGTTGATTATTGATGATGTGTTTATGATTGATGATGTGTTGATTATTGATGATGTGTTGATGATTGTTGATGATTGATGATGTGTCGATGATTAGTGATGTGTCAATCAATGATTTTTTGATAGATGATGTGTTGATGATAGATGATGTGTTGATGATTAATGTTTTGGTGATTGATGATGTGTTGATGATTGATGATGTGTTTATGATTGATGATGTGTCGATGATTGATGATGTGTTGATGATTGATGATGTGTTGATGATTGATGATGTGTTGATGATTGATGATGTGTTGATGATTCATGATGTGTTGATGATTAATGTTTTGATGATTGATGATGTGTCAATAATTGATGTTGTGTTGATGATTGATG